ATATGTACGATGGGAATGTAGTGTGTGGTTTAAACGAGGAGGGCTATTACCTCCCCCTTCCCAATCTCCCTTGCTGTCTGTATCTCTTTGTCTCTGTCTCTCTTTCTGTCTCTATCTCTGCCTCTGTGTATCAGTCAGTCTCTCTCTCTCTCTCTCTCTCTCTCTCTCTCTCTCTCTCTCTCTCACACACACACACACACACACACACACACACACATCAGGAAGGCAGATGGTTTTCTGTCAAGTTGTGAGGAACCTGGCTTTCTTTCTTGAATCATGCCTTCAGGCCCTTTGCAAACTGCTTCTTTTGCCTATTTTTAAGACCAGTTTGAAAACAAGATGATAGTCAGGGGGTGGAATAAAGAAAGCACCTGTGTGGATTTAATTTTTTTTTTTTTAAAGCAAGCGCTAGCGCTTGCAGCTCATTGAACAGAGTGTTGTTCTAGGGAGAATGGATCCTTATTGTCGAGCACAGTCCTGTTCAGATTTCTGTGGGGAGGGTTCTCGTGAACACCCAGTACCATTGTTCCAGTAATGTGTCTCCTTGACACGAATTTTCAGTCATGGTAACCTTTCTTCATGGTGGATTATTTATGTGTGACAGCTCCACTATTTTTGTAGCATTGTTCGGGGCCATATTTATAAGTTATGATAGTATCCCTTAAAGTTACACAAGGCCACAAAAGATAGGAAGTACCACCACTAACCACAGCATATTAACTTCATTCTGATCTAAAAGTACTTTTCTTTTTAAAAGGAAGGATAGCTCATTTACTTGATATCTCAATGTCATTACGATTGACTTTTCATTTAGTTAAGGTATTTATAGGAAAATGTTGCAGCTGAGTCTGGATCGAGAAACAAATACATTATATATGGAAGGTGCAGGAAAATGACAACCTACAAATGCTTGTGTGCTCTGCTGTGCCTTGTGTGCTCTTGCTCTTCCTCAGAAGCTTCATTTATGTCCACTGTTGGTGCAGCCTTCTTCCTGACAATGGAGGGTTGTAATGGAAACTGTCCTCTCTTCCTCAATTATGGGCCTGATATAGTGCCTACCATACAAACAGTGCTGCTGTCTCCCCTAAATCATGCCTGTGCATGTGACCCCATCATTGTTCCTAAGATCTGTGCCCTTTGCCCCTGATCTCATTTCTGCAGGATTGAGACAAGTGTCAGACCCTTGGAATGCCACCCAAATAGTGACGTTGATTCTTAGACTTTTCTGGGAAAAGCTGAGTTTAAATCTAGGGTTGAAATTATATGGAATACTTGGTGATTATATTAGTTAAATTAGTCCTGAAATAAAAGGAAGTCCTAGTTCTGTGTCAGCAACATCTGTTTTTACAGTTAGGCCAGGTCTTCAGTTTTCTGTTCTCCAAGATGATGTTGCATTGGTACAAGACTGGCTCTCCTTTGTTTCCATTATCTTTATATCAAGTGTGCACAGGAAGCTTTTAAAGATACTACCTAGTGTTAAGTTTCCAGAGAATTCTTTTAAAGCTTCATATTTATGATTGTCCAAAGAGAGCATGTTCAGAAACCAAACCATATCAAACCAAAACAAACAAACAAACAAACAAAAAACCAAAAAGAAACCCAAATGTTTGGCAAGAGATCCTAGAATAATGATGGTGGGTGTTTAGTACTTGACGAATGAACAAGTGGTAGAAAGTGCAATTCGGTACCCAGAAATGCCACACCATGGTTGGTCCTAAGCCCCTTTGGGGGGAAAGACAGTCTTTAATTACATCTGGAACTCATTATTTCTTTTTGGAGGCTCTTTCCAGATCAGCTCCCCCATCAGCCTCCTATTGAGCAACAGAAATTCCAGATGGTTCCCTCCATATGGCAGTGCTCACTCTCTCAAGTAGGATAGATTGGTCATTGACAGAATAGGATGGAAGAGCCGCATCCATCCAGGATGAGGTGGAAAGTATTGGGCCACCGTTAAGATAGAGGTGGTCCATCATTTATACGTATTATCTGGGTTGTATAACCTTTTATGAGTGATTACTAGAAATACTTTGAGTAATGTCTCAGAAATGATGCTACTTGTAGAGACTGTAGCATATTGGTTCAAATTCACACCTGGACAAAAGGAAACAAGCTGTCCTTGTATCTGAGGGCAGATTGGCCTGGTGGCTTATCTGCTCTGGAGCCAATATCAGCATGAATTGTATATTCCATTGTTCATGCTAGTATCATCTCTACAATTGTGATACAAGGAGAACCCCTTAAGCATAAAATTTTATACGAGATACATTTATTTCATTATAGAAGAATTGTGTTGTAAGAAGTAGATTAGTGTATTTTCGAAATAAAGGTAGCTAGAAATAAAAAGGTCAGACCAATATCCATTTAATTAAGGTATAGCATCACTTCAAGTCTCAAGTATTATTTTATTAGTATATCTATCATGGCAACAATATAGTATATCTGTATATAATAAAGTAGTATATAATGTATAGTATATAGTAATATAATTAATATATCTGTATATTGGTAAGAAACACCTGTCACTCACCTTTCATTTTCAACTTCTTGAAAAGTTTGCTATATCTTAAGTAAGGAAAGGGACAAAAAGTTGGAGAGTCGAATTCAGGAAGCTTGAAATGCAAAATGTAACTCCCAAAGGAATAACTGATACTTCTTCTCTCTGTAGCCCATCCTCTCCGTCTGGTGTCTGCTGAATTTTATTGATGTGTTTACTGCTTGGTATTATTCTGAGGAACTAATGTACATTAGATTCTGTTTAAAATCCTGATAAAATAAACACAGGAGGGAAGAAGTCATGTACTGGTCCCACACAGTTAATCTGTGTGTGATTCCCCAGGGCACAATTGGAGTAGGTAGGACAATTCAAAGGAAGAATTCCTGCTAGATTGGTATGCAAATTCTATGCATTTGTCATATTTACCCGTGATGTACCTTTAAAGAGTCTACTATCATGTGTGTGGTTCTGTGTATAGTCTGTGAATGAAAGAAACATTTATCAACCATGCTTATTGTTTTGTCTAACAGTTCTATAAGCAGACACTGATTATGGCTTGGGACACATGATGACCATTTGCACAAAACTTTAACTTTTTAAGGACTTTAGTTTAAATAACTATTAACCTCAAATGTCAAGCCACAAACCATACCATCCTATGAATATTTCCCTCTTTTATTTGAATGTTTTGAGAAGTACCAGAGATGAGGCTGACCTCTTTCTCTGTCTAATCCATCATCTTACCTGTAAATACTGTAATGGATTCTTGTCTTGAAGGTATGTGTGGACAAAATTCACCAAAGCTGGAAAGACTTGTTTAATGTCTTTATTTTTGACAGTGTGATAAACACATTTCTTTTCCTTTATAAATGATTAGTTTCTTCCCCTAAAAAAAGGAGAGGAAGGACTGACTCGACGATGATGACATTTAGACAAGCAGTCATGTGTGTGTGGAGCTCAAAGAGCACCTTTCAGTGCTCGGACTTGAGTGTGTGGATGGTGTCTTGGGAATGTGGAAGAGATGGGTTATTTCTCAAGAGTCAGGAGTGGTGGGGATCTCTAAGGAGGAGGTGAGGAGTGCTTTGTTGTCAGCTGAGATCTCGAGCAGTTTCTCATCCAGTGGGTGTTGCTGATGAGGCCGGCCATGGACATACTTGGAGATCTACTCTCTGTATTCAGCTGAGAGAAGTGAGGAGGGAGGGAGCATGTAGAGGTTACAGGCTGGACTGAAGGCAGTATGCTGGAAGTATGTGTGCATGTTACTGGCTACAATGCAGTCATATGACATCTTTTAACTGTAAAGACAGCCCAAGCCTGGAGGCTCAGACTGTAAACTCAGGAGGAAGAAGGAGCCAGTTGGCTTGCAGCCTTATAGCCCTTGCTGTCTTTGCCACAGGAGGGCATGGCTGGTCTTCTAAGTAAAGAAACAGACAAGGGCTAGCAAGACAACTCATGACAAGTTAATTTGCTTGGTCAGGTCCTTAAGAACGGCAGAGTCCGTTGTTTCCTGGGATGTGAAATGAGATTATGCTAACAAAAGAACTTCTTTTAAAAATCTGTACACCTGTCAGTGATTGTGATGCTTAAAATTTAAAGCAGAAACATTTATTTGACATCTTGAATTCATGTTGAAGTATTTTCAGAGAGCAACACTTAATACTTCAGCACTCATGAAATATTTACTGTTTTAAGTGAAAATGTTTTATTCATACATTACTTTATTGTTAAGATCAGGCAAAAACCATGATTATTTCTCTTGAAGTTATACAAAGAAAGGCTTTCAGGAGAGGATGCAGGGAGGAGAATAATTGTTTGAAGTCACCCATGATCCCCATAAGCTTGCCAAGCAAATGGAAATCTGTACACAGACTGCTTCTCTCTAGCACTTACTGAGTGGGCACTGTGCACTTTGTATTACATCCTGGAAATTAGGGAATTCCATGTGACTTACCATGTTGTGTTAGCACCTTAATCTATCAACTCATTTAATACTCACAAAAGACTGAGGAGGAAGCAGATACTATTTTTATTTCCATTTCACAGACAAGACAACTGAGGAATGGATGGATAAAACTGGTCTCCCATCTAGCAGGTAACAGAGCTGGGATTTAGAACCAAATTATAGATCTTTTCAAGGCCAAGAGCTTTTCCTTTGTTCTGTGTGCTTTGAAATTTGTCAAAAGTTAGGACACAAGTATAACGTATATGAAGTTCATATCTTTATGTACTAAATTTGTACTAAATTAGGGTTGTGTGTGGGGTGCTTGAGGACAGCTTTAAGCAAGGCTTTTGGTCATAACATAACATGTTAAAGAGTGGTAAAATTTACTAATCATGACTGACTTTCTTTCCTACAGAGTATTTGTTCTGGTTGCTGCAGTTGGCCTGACTCAGGTCACAACAGGAACAGCTCCTGAATTGCCAGAAGCCTGGAACATCCCCGGAGGAGAGAAGCTGGCTTTTGCTTTAGGTGCACACATCTGAGTAACCTTTTTGCTTTCTGCAGACAGGACTGTTCTGGTGGATACTGATCTCCCAGTGCTTAGACGCCTCTATGTGATGGGGACCCTAGAATTCCCTGTGGACAGAAGCAATGTTCTGAGTGTGGCCTGCTTACTCATTGCAGGAGGGGAACTGAAAGTAGGTGAGTAAGTGTGCAGGGATTGGACTGGCAATGTAATGGTAGTCATGTTCTGGGGAACGTGTTGTGGGAAGTGGAAGACAGCATCGATCCTCTGCCTGACATAGGCTGGAGGGCTAAGGCTAGAAGTGTGTTTCCAAATACATCTTTAGATGTGGACAGTGGTGACTTCTCTTTGTTCTTTCTTACTGACTCTCTTGTCATTCCCTTTTTGTTGCTCTAGATGGACTCTAAGTTAGATAACCTGGGGCCAAACTCATCACATATTCATACTGTCTGTTTGATTGTAAACAAATCAAATTCAGGGGACCTCCATCTCCTCACTTGTAACAAACACAATTATGGAGAGTACCACAGGGGAATGAGATGTCTAAATAGATGCAGCGGCTCACAATGCCTTATAGTAGGTGTTTGAAAAATATTACTTTATCAGTCAGGGGGTCCATACACAAATTGGTAACATGAATTTGACATTTTTAAAGACTTAAATAAGTGGACTGTTTACCAAATTACATTTGGAATGATGCTCTCCTTAGGGCTAGTAAAGCCAGATATTCCTGCTTCGCTTTGCTGTAAATGGTGGAAAGATTGAGTTGTTCCTGTAATCCAGACTTGGGAGTGTGGAGAGGGTTGTCAGACATATGTGCATGAGTGTGAGCATGGTTGGCACTCAGCCTTCACATGAGAATGTTTTATGGGAATCAGTATGGGAAACCAGCCTCTTCTCAGCAGGTTGGAAGCCAGAGAGGACTCTCCAGTTCTGTGTTCCCAGGTCAATTGCCACCTAGGACACTGCACAGATTAGAGATTGTGTCTTCGGAACATAGGCACCAACAGAAGTTCCTCAATGAAGTTGTCTTTCAGTTCTCAGAACAGAAGCAATGCTCCTATCAATAGACCCGAGAAGTCGGCTGACCTTTCAGCCACGTCCCCATGCTGGTAGTCTTGACAGTGATCTTGTCAGCTGTAATTCCTGCGCTTTCTCTCTGTGCTGCCTCTAATAACGGTTTTCCCAGTATACATGTGTGTAAGGCTTCTTTTATTTTGCCTTCTGTACTGGGGCACCTAAGTATACTTTTTCATCTGTTTTCTTCATTAGATAATTTCCACCCATCTCTATCCACTGGGAAATGACTCTATATTTTGATGTTTTCATTTCTGATTATGACTTTTGTCCCATTTGTTTAGCAGTCTATAAAATTCTCATCTAATCACTGATGAAAATACTTAATAAATAATTGTCTGTTAGTAGAAAACTATTGGCAGTACCACTTTCTCATTGGAACTGTTCTTTTTAGGCTTTTGAGGCTGCTTGTAACATGTAACTTGTGGACGGAAAATCTGTACCTTTGAAAGAGAGAGACCCTGTGCTACTTTCCAGCTTTGCTTTAGATGTTTCAGATAGTTTAAAATTATGTCTGCATCACTAGATAATGGCGTATCTTCTTTCTCTCTGTTTCATCCATGTGTTTCAGGCCTAAAGGTTTCTTATTGGAGCCCATCTGTCCAATCCTATGTGTGTTATGCCTCAAGGAAGACTTTCAACCCATCTGTCCACACCTACAGAAAGCCCAAAATGAGACAGATAATACGGCTAGTTAGTAAACAAACTTAATAGATGCGGACGTTTGCACAGCATTCTGCCAAAACATATCTGCTATGTGATGCCATTTGATCCAAATACTAACGGTGCGGAATTCTGGTTCTTGGTGGTTAAGATTTTGAGGCAATGGATGCTGACAAAAGTATCACCTGATTTTCAGAATCATAGAAGGCTGGAATTCGAAGTAAATTTGAGATCAAAGTTGCATTACAGATGCCATAGTAAAGTCAGTTACATTCTTCAGTGCTTGTCTTACTGGTCCAATGGAACACGTGCATGGGCAGAAGTAGAACAGATGAAGAAATTGAAAATTATCCTCTGGCTATTATTATAGTGGCTGATAAAGGCATCCTCAGCAGAAAATCTTACCCTGCCCTTGTAACAAAAAAAAAAACAAACAAAATAAAAATCAGTAAACAAATGAAACAAAGCAAAATCTCAAAAAACAATCTTTCAATATACATTTCTTTAAAAATACTTAGTTTTAAATATGTATATAAGTGTGTGTCTTTGTGTGGGTAAGTGCTTGTTTGGTTCAGAAGAGGACCTCAGACCCCACCCCACTGCCAGAGCTGGAGTTACAGGCGGGTGTGAACCAACTGATGAGACTGTTGGGGACCTAACTCAGGTCCTCTGTAAGAGTAGTTTGTGTTTTTAACTGTGAATCCATTTGTCAGGCCAGCATGTGTATTTCATAAGAGATGGTAAATTTTAATAAACTTGACACCCTTCTTCCATTCCTTCACAGCTTAACTTTTGCCTTTAACTTAATCAGTGTGTGTGTGTGTGTGTGTGTGTGTGTGTGTGTGTGAGAGAGAGAGAGAGAGAGAGAGAGAGAGAGACAGAGAGAGAGAGAGAGAAGAGGGAGAGAGAGAAAGAGAGAGAGAAGAGCGTTTGGCTTTGTGTATACTACAGTGCACAGTGCACTTGTGGAGGTCCACGAACAACTTGTAGAAGTTGGTTCTCTCCTTCCACATTGTGAGTCCTGGGAATCAAACTCAGAAGGTAATCTGGTTTGGGGGTAGGCCCCACTTCAACATGTTCCTAACTGTCATTGAACATACCACATACTGAAAGTTAACAGTTATTCACCTTGAGTAATATATAGAAATACTTTCCTGAATGACATCCTGGATGAAGAATGAAGAAAATAAGTAAAAACTGAGAGGGAAGTGATTTCTCTGTTGTGCTGGTTTTCAGTTCCACATATACATTTCTCGTTCCTTCTCTTCCCCCTTTTCTCTTCCCTATTTTTTCTTTTATTGAACAGTTAGTTCAGTGCCAGGCTTTGCTTTGGGATGGACTATCTTTTAAGCATTGGGACAAAGAGGATCCTAGAGTTTTTTCATTTGTTTGTTTGGAAAAACAAATGATGAGAGAGTAAGATGAACAGGAATGAGAAATTTAGATGACAACATATGTTCTAAAGGAAACTAAGGAGGCAAATAATTTGAAGAGAGGTCCAGGTCGGATGTTGGCCACCAGGCTACGTGGTGACTGAACAACATTTTAATGGATCATGTAACTTCAGGCTAAAGAGAACAGAAGGACCTAGCTCAGTATTTCTCAACTTGCCTAACATTGCAACCCTTGAATACAATTCCTTATGTTGTGCTGACCCCTAACCATAACATTATTTTCGTTGTTGCTTCGCAACTGCAATGTTGCTACTGTTATGTGAAGTGTAGAGTGCTATCTGATATGTGAACCCAAAGGGGTTGCCACCCATGGATTGAGAACTACTGAGACCTACAAAGACCTGGACCTGAAAAGATTACAGAAGACTACCCCAGCCTTGATGAAAAGCTCATGCAAAAGCCTCGAGACAGGAAAATGTACTGCAGGGTGAAAAAATGGAAGGACAGCTGCTGGACTAGAAAATGGCGTAAATTAAGTTTTTAATTCTACTCTAGAAAAATCATTGTGCAGCTTCTAGAAAATTCTTCAAAAATAACTGTGATCTTGGGCGTCTCTGCAATGATATGAATCACCCCTCCACAGTCTTCGTGAGAAAGCTGAGATAGACAGATATTACTCATTTGTTTTATGATCTTGTATTTGGGAAAGAACAAAGGCGTGTTCAACAGATGTTGCAATTATCTTTAATACTCCCTTCCCTGCTTCCAGCACTTCTGCCTCTATTAGAAAACCTTGCTTGTCTCCACTAGTAGATCCCATTCAGTATCTTATTTCTGGCCTATTCTACCCATTCTTCTTGACCTTACTATATTCACCTTGATAACATAGTGTATCAGTTTTCAAGTATCCTTTCTATTAAGTGATAGAGTTCTGTGCATATTGTAAAACTTATTGTTAGCTTCTGGTAGTATGTGTAATTGCTATATAGATGAATGCATGGGTATGCCTAGGTCTATCCTTTAGCTCAGTGCTTTTATTCCTTAGAACACACCATGCTTTAATGGCTATATCTATGAGGAAGGGATTACAGTTTTCATATATAAGTGACCACAATACATTTATCTCCTGTAAGAAAGGAACTGAGCAAATACGAAAACAGAGTAAAACTTTGGTGGTCCAAGTTCAGATTTTACAATCCTTCCTGAATATAACCTCAAAATAAACATTGGTATGTTGGTTTGTTAATGTGTGTTTGTTTGCTCTGGTGCGCCTGCTTGCACCCATCTCTTATATTTAATGTGTTCTCTTAAGTTCATCATCAGCACCTGGCTTTGGTTGTCGGCGAATGAAGTCCTAAGTGTATGGGAGTTTCCTTCATTGCTTCCATGATTGGAGTTTTCTCCGTCTCAAAGAAAAAAAAAATCTATAGTTTAGGGCTGGAGGAATGGCTCAGTGGTTAAGGGCTCTTCCAAAGGTCCTGAATTCGATTCCCGACAACCACATGGTGGCTCACAGCCATCTCTAATGAGGTCTGGTGCCCTCTTCTGGCCTGCAGACATACACACAGAATATTGTATACATAACAAATAAATAAATATTTTTAAAAAATCTATAGTTTAATGCCTTCTCAACTGGCAGTTCTGCAAGACTCACTGGAGTGTTAAGTAATAAGAAGTAAATAAACCTGAGAAACTCTAGGTTACATTCTTCTGCCTATAGCCATGATACCACTGAGCAAACAGAAAACCACATGTGTGATGTTTATTAGAAATAATTTATCAGCAGACAGAGAGTTGGTTCAGTGGTTAGATCACTTGTTGCTCTTGCAGAGGACCTGGATTCAGTCTCCAGCACCCACATGATGGCTCACAACCATTTTTAATTCTAGTTCCAGGGGGATCTGACACTCTCTTGTGAAGCTGGTGGGCACCAGACATGTAATTTATAAACATATATACACAAAGGCAAGACACTTATTCACATAGAATGAGAAAATAATTTTAAAAATAATGTATCAGCTTAAAATAAATAGTAACATTCT